AATTAAATTTATAACCTGTGTTCGAGAATCTCACGAAATTATTAGAACGTTTAAGAATATTAATTTTTTTTTTCTTTTACCACCAACGCCGGTTAAGCGAGAGTCACTGTGAATCGTAATTCTGGTCGAAAGCCTCTTATGTACCATGATATTCATGTGATATTTATGTAGGTTTTAAGGTTCGTCTGTAGAGTACCTTGGATAATACAGAAGTTACCTTTTGATATTTTTAAAAATAATAAAAATAACCAAATATGGCTTTAATATACTATAGTTAAACTATAGTTTATGGATAGTTATCTTATTACTATCTTTTTTATAGTTTCACAATCGTGGTGTGTTATCAAACTTTATCTATTGTGAGTGTTGAATAGAGTATCTTGGTAATATTCTATTGAATTGTATTGACAATTAACAAATTTCGCCAATGTCCCTTAAAGTTCGATATTAGGAAGAAGGATAGATAACGTGAGATTTCCCGCTGGTGTATACTAGTACAAATATAATACTACAATAACATGTAAAAACATCCTAATCATTTTTTTTTAAAATAATAAAATTCAGTTATGTAACTAAGGCCGACATATGAATCGGAAATTAACTGCTGAGATCTGGAACCGTCAACACCCAATGCGGTGAAAGGCATGATGAAGTGGATAATTGAAAAAGAAGTATACAGGTTTACATGGTCTTGATACGATATTTACAAAGAAGGGGATTGAACCGTAAGGGCGGAATAACTTGTACAATATCCTGGGAAACAGGTCTCATGGCTTGATACATTTGTCCCTCATTGAAATTTCCCTTACTTTCCAAACTGCCTTTTGAGGAAGCCGGCTTTATCTCTTCCCATGATTTAGATTACACCGATTGAGTATATAAAAGATTATATGTATGCATCTAAATAATGTGTATTTACTTTTTCGTTGCATGTTATGTGAGAAATGAAAAGTGTGTTGGTTAACACGGTTTGCGCCTTTTAATTTATGCAAGAAAAAAAATCTCAAATAATGAATTCGGATATTATTATTTTTGTTACTAAATTGCCAGCAAAGGCAAACCAAAGAGGTTTATTAAAACGACCCATATATTATGTTGAAAGCCGCAGACTTCGGTGGTGATTGATGGAGGAAATTCAATAACAATTAATCTACAGGAGTGAATAAAATGTGTAAACTAAAATCAATTAAGGAAATAGGAAAAGTAGACTAGGGAGATAGCAAAGTCTAGAAGCAGGTACGCAAATATTTTATCATGCCCGATGTTCCTATTATTGAGATTTTTGTTTATATTCAATGGTAAATATATCTAGCAACATTTCCTAGGATTTTATGATTCATTCATGTGCACCCTTTCATTTTTACGTGAAGATTTCATCAGATTCTCCGCGGCAAAGTTAAACCGGTAGTGTTTACATCACTGCCTCAAACCTTTGAATAAAAATAAAAGATATGTATTATATTCAATTACTTGAATATTGTTGACATATTTTCAAAAATAAAAACTATTTATCCGCACCTGCCATGGTATTGACAATCAGCAGATGTGTTGTGATGATGAGGATTGGCATTATAAGCATGAGGAAGGATAGTACCCAGCAGCACCTCTTCCTGGTCATTATTTACTTCTTTGATTTAGGTGAGGAGATCTCTCATCCAGCTTCTTTTTAGTCTCCTCCTGATGGGCATGTTAGTCGTAGCCATGTCGTTTATAAATGTGTGTGTCCGTGAAGTTTGTGATGAAAACGAGAGTAGAGAGTACGTATGTGTTGATCTATAGTCGGTTGTTGTAAGTCGTTATGTAAAGTTTTGTTGTTGACGTACCAAGGAGCTCCTGTTATAAGTCGTAAAATTTTGGATTGAAATGACTGTAGTTTTTGTAAGTGCGCCTTTTTTGCCGAACTGTAAATCTGAGAGGCGTATATCCAGATGGGTTTGAGTAGTTATCTATTATACCTATGAACTCCGAAAATTGACCGCCACCTACGCTGATGATACAACAATTTTAACAAAATACCATAACCCCAGACTAGCCTCAATAAATTAAAAAAATCATTTACTGACTTTACAAAATTGGTACTCACTTTGGAAAATAAAATTAAATCATGACAAGTCACAACATATAACATTTACACTTCGACGAGAAACGTGCCCACCAGTTTATATAGGAGAGAACCAAATTCCTCAGACAAACACAGTACGTTACCTGAGACTAATATTCGATAGAAGGATGATGACCTGGGGCCCACACGTCAAAATGAAACGACAGACCTTAAACAAACGACTGAACAAATCTAAATTTATTTTTATAGATAGTATTATATTGTTCATTTTGCAATAATTATGTTGGTCATGTACACCATAAATATTACTCATAAATTTTATGTGTAATATAAACTCTCGACTTTTTTGGGAATATTCCATCGCTCCCTTAATCAGAATGAAAAGTCTGCGCCAATGATTATGTTATAAATAGCATAACGCCAATAATGATCTTCATCAACATATTGTCTACGCATTATTAAATTAGCTGTACGGACTCGTTTGTTATGTGGACAAACAAGATGGATGAAGGGAACAAAAATAAAAAAAATATTTTCTTAACCTTATAGCCAGAAAAAAACGAGGGCGAAAATCCATTATTTTTCAGCAATGGTTGGAAGTGAAGATAGGAAAACAGTATAGAGCTTTGTGAAGGTGGGAGGCCTAGGTAGCAACCATTCACCGCCCATCCCATTGAGGCCGTTTTTTTCCTCAACAGACGGAAGGTGATTCCGGCCTCCCAGCTAAAAGAGAGGCAGCTAAACCCCGGGACAAAAAGAAGCGGCCCAGATCTTTGTAGCTCCTGTCTACAAAGGGATAGCTCAAGTCACGCTTTCTTTGTACAAGAGCCACATTAGTCAGTTCTTAAATTACAGAAACATCAGAGGCCTATAGGAATATCCTTCTGTCGGTGGGGAGCAGCAACGCTAACGTTATAATAGTCGATTCTTTGGGAAGGTCGATGGATGAAATTGGACTTTGATTAATGCAATGCCGTGCCAAGTCACTTTACAAGTCTGTAACTAGCGGTTGTATATAATATTACAATAATATATTATAATATAATAATAATAATATATATAATATTACTATGTTTTTTTTATAATTCGACCTTTATTTATTATAACTTAAGATATCAACTATGGTCGGATAATAGGTCAGGAACTACAATTCAGTAAGCTAATATATATCTATATATGCACTAGCGGATGCAGGGTTTAATTTTTTCATATATATAACGATAGTTATTTTTTTTTTTTTTAAAGGAAAGAAATTAACTACCTGTATGAAATAGCATTTAAGTGGTTCTTGAAGTTCTATTAAATGTAATTACGCGAACAACAATACTTTAGCTAGATAGTTTTTAATATTTTTTCTATTAAACATGGTTTTAATATTTTACCATTTTGGAGGAAGGCTTCAGCCCGAAACCTTCCCCTCACCCCGTATATATATATATATTTATGGGTGTGTGTGTGTGTGTGTGTGTAGAAGAAAAAACTTAAGAACAAAAATATGATACAGATAAACAGAAACCATACTTGGTTCATAACTACAATACCAAAAATTCAAACGATATATGGACTATCTTTATTAACAATATATAGAGAGCTAAAAATAAAAACGTCTTGAGAAGAAATATAATTACAATTAAAATAAAAAATAAGTGATCGAATAAATTAAAATAAACAGAATGAACTGATTCTTAAAGTTAAAAAACTTAAACGACAAGAAATCAATGATTATTTATTCAATGTTCTCTAAAATATAATTTCAAGGAGAAGATATTTGGATGAGGACAGGGAAGAGGCATGGTGAATATTAGATGACAAGGAATACCAGAAGCCAGTCAAGCGGGCACGAAAGGAACGTTCGAAGGTTTTAGTCGTATGGAAAGGAGTATAAAGGTCAGAAACACGGATTCTTGTTTTCTGCGATCAAGGGTTTGAACTTTAGGAGCTTGTAGATGTAAGAAGGGTGTTGGAAGTTGGTCGTTAGGAATATAAGATCATAAGATCTAGGGAAGTATTGTCAACAGGCTATAAAGATGGGACCCCGAAGGAAAATTTTAATGAGGAATTATGCTATGTATATATCAGTAAAACAACAACATTGCAAGGCTGCTCGATTGTACTGAGCTGATTCACACAGCTTAATGATTCGTTCTATAGCTATTATTAAAAAAAAAAAAAAAAAAAGATTTACACAGGAATATTATAATAAATTTTAAGATTTTTTTCTCTTTATGTCTGTAAGTTCGATAAAGTGAAGGCTAGGATTCCAAGAAAGAGATGGTCGAAAATTTAGTTTGTGGCAGACCTATGGAATGAATCCCGATTCTGGTTGGAATATGTTTAGTTGTGCTTCTAGAACCCTCCCTCCCCTCTCTGCCAGAAATGGCTAGGTAGAGGTCATCGAGAAAAAAAAAAGCTTACCAGCCAATGTTTATTAATATCGTTCTGGAGAGACATTATGTCTATGTTTAGTCAAGATTTTTTAGACTCTAATTGTGAACTGAGTTATTACAAGTTACTGAGATTACTTTTTTATGTGATGGTATATATTCTTATTATGATGAGACCATGATGAAACGGTTACTGGTATTTGAGAAAGTTTTATTTTGAAATAAATCAACAATGTATTATGATAAGAATACATAGCTACGAAATTGAATAGGATTAAATCATTTTTCTTAATAAAAGAGACAAGTTTGACGAAAAAATTCCAAAGTTTGATCGATTGTATTTATGGGAACCGTACTTTTTTCCATTGGATCTCACTGTTTTCATCCGATAAAAAAAAATACTTTCGATTGCATAGAAAAAAAATATGAAGTTGATTCAGTAGACAATCAAAACAATGAAAAGGTTTTAGCTGCGGTCAGGAGTGTTAAATCACACAGGATGTGTCAGAAACAAATAAAGTGACACGAGTGTTGAATTTTTAACCGTAAACGCGTCAGTAAAAAGGTTTTGACGACACCCGTGTGAGGCCTGCCCAGGTAGGCTTCGGAAGGGAAAAAAAATTCTGAGTTGAGTAGATTTCTGTGTTTGGGGGCAAATAGGAGGGAGACCAATTCATCCTCTTATCGAGGGCGGTACTTCTCGGCCTATCTTTAGACTAAAAGAGTTTGAGGAGGAAAAAAAGTACGACGCCGCTTAATAGCGAAATTTGGTATTTAGATAAGTGCGTATGAGGGATCAATAAATTAAGTCGATGGTATAACGCAGGAGACAATGTCGGAGTAAAGAAAATGGAAGATGTTAATGTGCCATTGTCTTTTTTTCCCCAGCCTTTTTGTCAGGCTGTACCACCTACTCGATCGCTCGTGTTTCTAAAATATACATGACGGTATGGATCGGAATTCGACTGTGAGGTATCAGCTTGTATTTACCGTGGTGTTTATATAATCATAGCAGCAATTTATTTTTCATAATATCTAACATATACAGATAAGTAGAAGCAAACGAAGAAAATCTTTAGGATAATTAATGGGTGATGAGAATCTTGATTCTTAAACATTTCCTAATAATTGAGGTAAGTTGGTGTGTGTGCGACTTATAAACGAAAACAAAATGTAACCTAACAAACCAAATTAAATTTACGGGTTGTAATTGTAAATCTATGTAAATATAATAATAAATAAATAAATAAATCTAATATTAATTCAGTTCTTAAAATCCGGTGTATTTATTAAGTAAAATATTTTACTTAAATTTTCGACATGCACAACGATTTTGCTCTTGACTCAGTATCATTATATACGTAGTTATCAGTATTGGTACAAATAACCCATTTATACATATATAGCTACTGGGCACCAAAGTTTAACGAAATATTACCAAATAAGGAAAGTAAACTTTAAGTACAGATTTTTGTGTAAAGTGAAAGACTAAACGCCTGATGGATAGATCAAACAAAGGTGTCATAGAGCTGTATGGAGATAACTAGAAAGGAATCTCCTAAGTTATGCAGAGATGGGGCTTGTTGAGTTGGTAAAAGATCAACAAAGTCTGTTGATTGATTTATACTTATCTTACGACTATTCCACAAGACATATGGCAACCTAAAATTAGTTTTGATTTATTTGTATTATATAATATGTAGTATAACAAGGTACTTACAATTGACGGTAAGGATGGCAGGCTTGGAGCTGAATGATGTGCCAGTGGTGATGTTGACGACGGAGCAGATGTACCTTCCGGCATCTTCTTTCATCGCTCTGGTGATGACTAGGTCTCCATCTTCGACATATACCCTGGAGGACAGTTGGACGCCCATCCCGTCTCGGTTCCACCGAACGACAGCAGCCGGAGGAATGTTCCCGCAGCCCAACCGGACGGGCTTGCCGCTACTCACTTCCGAGTCTTCAGGTTGTCGTTCCAGCTCGAATCCGCATCCTGAAATGAAAATTTGTTAATAATATGAGACAAGAATTGAGATGTTGATGGACAGTTTTGTGTTCAGGCATGTGCCATAACTTAATGTAATACCAGGAATGGTTACCAACAAGCGATATGATTTAGCAATAACTACGTTAGATGTTTTTTGACAAATGTACAAGCGGAGTTGAAATATAGGGCTCCATTAAACCATTGAATTTATCATTCCTTTAGTAGGGTGAACGCACTAGTTATGGACAGAGTACCCACTGATGGACAGCTTAAACTTTATATGTAAATAATAAGCTTCCTTGTAGATTTAAAGGTACCAGTTTTTTCTAGATTGAAGAAAATGCCCTCTATTGACAACTGTATGAAAGTTCCCAAAAGAAAATTTTAAAATGATTATCATTGTCGTTTCTATAGTACTCTTGAGATCATTGTCTTCCTACTAATAGTTTTGCTAAGAGTAAGTTGAACATTTATGTTATCTTTATAGTTAAATACATATTTTAGAATTTTTCTGAGGTATGTCTATTACTGTTACTGAGCCCCTGTCCAATACCAGAATATTAAATTTCGGGGTGGCCATCACTAGTGCGAACACTTGTTTTTTTTTTTAATGAAAATTATATCTGCATTTTTTTTTTCTATTTTTGAAGAGTTAAATAGAAAAGGAGACTCTAGAAATTCGAAATGTCCAACGGAGAAGTTTATAGCTATGATAATTATGGCGGTATAAGCCAAAAATTACCTTAGCTATGCCTATCACTGTTACTCTTCTTACCCTACTCCTTATAAATTTAAAAACATTCTTAACTATCTTATTAAAATAAAATTGAAAAATCACCTAATGTAATAATTTTGACAAAAAGTATTTCGAACCGACGAATCACACCGTTTTTCCAACCTGTATTAATTGCGATGCCATCACAGCTACTATCAACATGCACTCCTTCCTTCCTAATATAGGCCTTGTTTCGGCAGGTTTACAACGCAATTAAGTTCTAACATCGCAATCAACATCCGCTGTGGTACTGCTACTTCTAGAAGTTCTGAAAATATTGTCTAGTCTGAAAAATTCAGATCCCTTAGCACTGAACCATCATGAGAAACATGAGCAACGTTGTGAACGATAGGATTTTTTTTTATTTTCAAAAGTTTTATATGTACCGTAAAACTTGTTATTACATATGCATTATGATGCAAAGTAGCTCCTAACGATAAAACCATCTGGGACTTCTATCACAGACCGTTGACTTGCGGAGGCGTTACTGGCGCCATGTCGTGACTAAGCATCAATAGCCAGTTTAAAATATTATTCTTTATTAAAATACCTATTCAATTTTAGGATTAAATCATAATTTAATGTAACGGTTCAGCCATTCTCTATTTACTTAACTAGCTGCACCCAAACACCCACACATGGCTTAATCTTCTAAAACGCACAGAAAAAAAACTTCAATAATTAAAAAAAAACATGTAATTGATTTGTTAATAGAACTTATTGAAATATTTTTTTTTTGTTGGTTATATTGCTGTATAATTTGATTAAAAATACTTGAAATTAACTTGTAAAGAAATTTCTCATTGTTGCACTCCCATGATGGTTCAGTGCTAGTAGAATCTAAGGTCATACTTTTTTAAAATGTAGGAGGGTTGTAGGAAATATCCCATCACTGAAATTCCAATAGATGTACATTTTTTTTATGTTTCAGTTAATTTCAAAAAAGCTTTCCAAATTATTATTTTTTTTTTCTCTAACATTATTATATTTTATTTGAGCATTTCGTCTACCGATTTTGGCAAATGAAAGTCCCAACTAATTCTATACTTTTAAAAGAATATTTCCGGATATTATTAACTAACAACATGTATACCAAAATACACTCAAGTGAATTTTTATTTACGTAAATGTCTTCAGATAGATATCATTCTACTATTCTTTTTAACACTTGGTATAATGATAAAAAATAAATAACTTATTTCACTATGTTCACAAATATCCTATGAAACTTCCTGAAATCCTGCAGATATGAGAGGATCTCTAACGGAGAGCCCTGGAGTACTACTGAACAGCTTCCTCTCAATCTCGAAATAAGGAAAACGAATTGGAAATGCGTAGGACACACTTTAAGGAAAGTGGATGGTACAGTACCATGGAGAAAGAAGCTCTTCAATGGAATATCCAAGGAAAAAGAAGAACAAGGCCAAGAGAGCAACATGACGGAGATCTGTACAAAAATGATTGCTGCAAAAAGAGCAGAATAGAACGCACTTGTTGATGCCATATTTCCTACCAGGAGTCAACGATGATGATAACAAATATGAAATAAACCGTCTTGCAAAAAAAATATTTCATTTTTGTTGAGAACTCATGACGAATTTATTGATATTTCAATCAAAATTACCGATTATTCCACAGTATTCGAAATTCTGGACATATTCCCAAATTTACTGACTGGTAGACTTCGTGTAAACTTTCAATATAATTTTAGTAATATCATTAAAATTATTGATATAATAGAGAACCACTGAGTAAAAAAAAATGAAAGCTAAACTGAAAATCCCAAAAGACTACTAGAACACTAATTTAAAAGCAAGGAGAATAGTTCTCAGCCTTCAGGATCCCGCTTTGACTAATATTTGAAGTAAGAACAAACGGCGGTCCCTATGCAGCTGCCTTCCAGCTTCCGGCCTGGAGAAGGCTTCACAGCACTCCAGGGCAGGTCCAATATAGCTTACCACAAACGCTCCGTATATAACAAACCTGCTCAAGCAACTGGTCTGTCTTATGAGGTGTCTGTCTAAGGGCGTATGACGGTTTACTGTTTTTGCAATGAAAGGCAAACCCAAATATTTTTATATTTTCCTTCAAAATAGCTCTCATTAAGTAAGAAACGAGAAGTTTTATTATTTCAACAACGCAAGTGTTAATGCAATAGTAAAATATATCTAGAATTAATTATGAATATAATTAATAAGCTAATATTTTAAACTATCAATTATTTCATGATTGACTTCATCGATATCTGTCAACATTTGATATTTACATAAACTCAAATATGAAATATATTAAAATATGAAAAATATTAGACAAAATGTGGATTAGCAACAAATCTAAAAGAAATTCAAAAGACAGCGAAAAAGAAGAAGTTAAAAAAAACATTAGTTATCCTAAAAGCGGTGAAATTATATAATAGAGTTTAATTTGAAGGCGTTGCCAATGACCCTACAAGGTAGATGCAAGAAGAAAAAAAAATATGAAAAGCGAAAGCAGATCTGAATCATTTTGTTAGTATCATTCTTCATTCATTCGTTTTTAAATACCACTATTAGAGTTAATTTCTACTAGCTATCGAGTTTCTATTTTGAAGTAAGGAAGACACAAGCATTTAATTTCTAAAATCGAAAAATTTTCATTAAACAAAACCATAAACTAATTCAAAACGGCTCTGCCCAATAAAACCTAAAATGAAAAAAAAGAAAGAAAAAAGGACGCGATAAGGTTAGGCAGTGTTAATGGAGGTCGCAATGAATCTTTTATATTTTACCGTTGCTATTTTTATTTATAACTAAATACCCACATAAACTCAAACTAATTCTATTAATTTTCTAATTTTCGTTACTTAAATAATTAAATATTAATTAATTGTAGTACTAGATTAATAAATTTCGCACAAAAACGTTTGGAGGCCGCAACTACGTCACAGAGGCCTCATGCGGCCTCTGAGGCCGCGTTTCCTCACCCTTTAGATGGATTTGACTAATATGTTCATAATTGTAATATAACATATGGTTAATTAACATAAACCAAATTAGTTCCTTCATGTCCAAAAGGTAAAACGCGAATGGAAATGTTCGATTCTGAAGATAAAAATAGTTTATCTTTCAGCGCGAATACAAAGTTTAACTTTGTACTATTTCCTACCTTCGGTTATGAGGAAGCAAAATGGAAATATATTTTCTTTTAAAAAAAAATTAATAGGTACTATCCACGCATTCATTTAAAGGTATAAAGACTGTCAAAGGTGGTCAAACAAGAATGAAGAATGCTTAAAAATTTTTAAGACTTTCATTTAAAATATTTAAGTTAGTTTCTTCATTCGGATATACAAAGATATAATGTGTCACTTCTAGTTTTTTAGTGTAATTAAGGCTTATTTATATTTTACAAGAGATAATAAGATTTAATGTTTTTCTTTAAACTTCAAATAAGAATTCTCAAGCATTCGTGAAATAAATAAATTTTATATGTTTGGACTGTACATAATAAAGAAAATAACAAATTCCTCATTAATTATTTATCCTCAGTTTTAAAAGCTAATTATTAATAAAAAAATAATTCGATTAATAACTGAGGAATAAACTATAAAGGCAAATGCAAAATTAAATACACTTTAAACTTTATGATGCCCTTAACTGAACAGCGATTCTCCGAGAAACGCAGCACATGCCTGCCGTAAAGGAAAGGGGCTTAACGAGACAGTATCGGAGTTTATTGGGAACTTCGTCCCATGAATGAAAATAGCACAATACACTTTCAAAGGACCCTTTGTATCGGCGGGAAACAATTTAGGACGGGCGTAGACTATTGTACTATAAAAGTAACTACTTTGATCCTATATATGTAAATATATATATGTTTTTTTTTTATTTCATACTATTCTAAAATTAAATATTTCTAAATAATACTATATTCTAAAAAAATAAAAAAAATAAAAAGCTGACATATTATACGCCCGACAGGTGGTGTATAAAAACTCACTGGCTTCCTGAACATAAGGTATTGTTCGACGTTCAAGTCAACCACTTTGTTCATTATTCACTTTTTAAGATATTTAATGTTTTTACTATACTCAAAAATTGTTAAAAATGTTATTATATAGTAATTATATAATTATTGTAACAATGTTATAATATTTATTTCAAATGATATACGGATCGGCCACAAACACTAATCTAGAGAAGATGTACGATTTTTCTATATCTCCCCTCTAAGTACCTCTGGATAGGTTCAACTAAGTTTGTTCAATGGCTATAAACACGGCTATTTTTTAATTTTGACCTGAGGGTAAAGTTGGTGAAATAATAAAATATAAGAAAATAATTGATTAATAGCAGTCT